TGATTTTATTGCGGGGGAGTTGGTTGGTCCCATAATGTTGGGAGGTAAGTCCTTTTTTTTTTTCCTTTCTTTGCCCGCTCCTCAATGGCCTTGCCGCAACAGCTTAGTCCGGGCCACCAAAGGGGGAGTATAATTTGCGGCAAGGAAATGAGGGCTAATTCTTTTTGTCCATTGTTGGACAGGATGGTCCCTTGGGGGGTATCTGTCTCTCGCCATGGCACGAGCCATTGCCGCCAACCCAGGGGCGTATCCCATCTCAGTGGCAGGGCTTCTCATCATAGACTCGCCGTATCATATTGCCAGGAGCAAGATCACGGTGCCGACGTCCAAGCCTGAGCTGGCCGGCATACCGCCGTTGGTGCAGAAGTCATTCGACAACTGCGACGTTATGCTTCAGCATTGGGACCTGCCTTGGTGGGATGCCTCGGACAGTGACGCCAGCACGGATGTCAAGTTCACCGTCGCAGGTGAGACATTCGCCGTCCGAAAAGGGGAGGTCCTCCACAAGCCCGTCGGCTCCGATGGCAAGTGGCAGACGACTACCGTGAAGACCTATGTCAAAGACGCACAAACCGACATATCGGGGCCCGTTGCAGGTGGCAGCCCGCCGCCAGCTGTGCTGCTACGCTGCATCAAACCTGCGAAACCAGCACCGAGCCATGTGAGCAGTGGCAAGAGTCAAGATGCCGCGCCTCCTTGTTTGGTTGATCTTTTCCGGGATGAGAAACTGCTTGGTTGGGAAGCGCGGTATCCCTCATTCATCAAGGCGGTTATTGATGTCGATGCGAACCATTACAACCTCTTTGATAGGAACAATACTGTGGGGGTGGAAACGGTCACGGCGCAGTTGGTACAGGGGCTGGAAGTTTTGGATGCCTTGCATGAAGAGAGGAAGAAATGTGTGGGGGGGCTTTAGTGGTGAGTGTCCCGGGATATAGACTGCATAAGAATATAGCGTGATAGACGACGTGGTAGAGTCCTTGGCTAGAATATTGTCATTAGATGAGATGAAATGAGACCAAAATGTATGTCGGAAGCCGGTCTTGATGCTCCCGGACGTCTCGACACTGAAAGAGAGACACCTCGTCGACAGTTTCTCGTTCCGCGACGAATTGATTGCCGACTCAGACAACCTCGGCCAACCTCTCCATTGTGTCTGCCTAGGGATCTGCACATTGTTTGCGCGGCGCCGTCAACCGTCTTGGTGGACCTCGGCGATTGTCTCATGCACACTCGGCCGAGTTGACCGCAAAGCGGAGGACGGTGTGTTGTATGTTTTGATAAAAATCTTGGCCAAGTCCTGATTGTCTGTTCAACCAATCAAAGAGATGTATTCTCCAGCTTTCTGTTCAATGGTCTGTTTCTGTATTGTATTTCGCGGTTGCTATTTTTGGAAGTTTTCACGTCGAGTAGACCACAAGATGCCGCGGGGATGTGCGCCCCAAAGCAGGCCATTATATGAAGCTGCATCCTGTGCGCGTCCAGTGCTTGAATGGCTACAGTGAAGATGTTGGGCGTGGTTCCATGAGAAAGATGAAGGTGCCCATCGGCGACTGATGGAGACATACATACGCGACCATTCACCATTCAAGCTGACATGGTGGGTTGGGCATATAACTTGGCATAACACGTTTGTTCAAAGCCCAGCTGCGCTGGCACACATTGTTCCCGAGTACTCTGCACCGAGGGATATGCCGTCCAATCTCTAGAGATAACGGCACATGCAGGCATTCGCCGTCTGCCTCGCGGGAACCGGCGGGCCGGAGAAATCGAGGACCTGTTACGCCAAAAGTATTCATCAAAGACAAGTGTTTGACAATACTACTCCGTACTCTGTACATGGAGTGGAAGCAAGTCTGGCTCGTTTTGGGCCATGCTCTGCCCCGTCCGGGCCTTGCAATTGCAATCCCCTCCCTCCAAAGCACGCCACCGTGACACGATGATGTATGACAGATCAGGCCGCAACAGACACCAATATCGGAGAATCCGCTCAGCCAGCTAATAGCCATGGACTGCGCCCTCGAGCCCTAAACCGATCTCATTGTAGCACGACCCCCCCCCCCCCCCCCCCTTCCTCCATGTCCCGTGCAGACGGGCATGGCAGCGGTGCCGAAACCACCATCCAATCTTTCTACTGGAGCAACGGCAACCATCATACGGAGTACATGGAAAGATTGGCGGCTGAAAGGCCATGTCCCCCTCCCACAAGAAATGTCAGGGACAGGGATGCCGTCGCTTGACGCCTTGCCAGGCGGCTGCAAGGCGGCCACACTCCAGGTCTTGCGCGAGGGTGGTTTTTTGGAAAATTACCACGGCCATGCTCTGTACTCTTGAAAACGCATAGCTTTTCGCGCAGGGCATGGCGGCGTACATTTGGCACAAAATATGCAAACAGTTTGGTGTGCAATGTCGCTCTTCTGCCTCGAGATACCGGGGGGTTTACGACTTGGCAATCACCTTATTCTCTGAGTGACGGCGTACTGCTCCGTGAGCGAGCACCTCATAGTTGGGGGTGGTTCAGCCATGGCATGCACGATCATGAGCTTCGACTTGGTTTCCAGCGATCCTGGACATGAGGCGGGGAAAGTCGTTACACGGCGTCGACGCACTAGCCGCGCTGCCTGGTAATTTTCTCCCATGGCATGTGATGCCAAAGGCTCAAATCATGGTTAAAAAGTCGGGAGCCTTTCAAAACAGCAATCCGGATGGAAAGCTGAAAGGAGAGCCACGATTCTGAAAGCCCGTGTGCGAGACTGACTGTACGCCGATACTTTGGGGCCCAAGGGGGGCACGTCTTCTGCCAGAAGCTGTCGAAAGAAACATGGAATCTCGCTTGCAGGGAGCACACTCGAGGAAGAGGGCTCCCAATGTCCCCGGGAGGTGGTTGTCGCGCGGCCATGTCTCTGGGCACCGAAGACGGGAGGACGGCACACGTCCCAGAAAGGGGGATTTGCCTCAGCGCGCACAAGAACGCCACTTTTGCTGCCTTTGCCTTCTCTCGATGGCAATAGTACCGGTACGGAGTGCTTATTTGGGTGAATCAGTTGCGTCCACGGGTCCGGCTTCCCGGCTTGCCATTGTTGATGCCAAATTCTCCGGTCGGGTATATGCATGTACATCACCTGCTGGGTTTCGACATACATATGCCCTCCAGGGCAAGGTCTCAGGGGAGCAAGCTGGGATATCATGGATGACGCTTTGAAAAGACTTGTCATTAGAAATGGCCTCATAGTTTCTGCATGATTCACATTGAAGCAGGGGCCAGCGGCTCGTGTAGGCCGTACAGTAGAAAACTGCATGATTCGTCATCTCGCACCGCAGGTTGGGTTTGTCTTGGTTGAATTTTCTATGTTTAAGAGCCTTGATGGGCATCTTGGTCATTTCAGGCTTCTATGCAGGTGTAGTTTGTGCACTTGGTAGAGCATGTATGGTTGGAAAGGGGTGGTATTCCGTCTGACTTTTGCCGGCATATTGGGTACGTGTAAGGTTGTAAGTCGATGTGAAGACACCAATAGCAAATTTGATGAAGCTGGCTGGGCCGCCGTCTTTTCCAGCGTTGAATACTCGACTCTGAGACGGGTTTATTCTGTTCTGGGGAAACCCATCTTGCTGTCGTGAACCAAACAGCCGCATCTATGAGATGGCGTGCCAAAAGGACGAATGCTTCTCAAGTTCCTGTTGCGCAGAGAATTATTACAACACCCCGTGAGAGGCTTCTCAGTCCTGACTGGTGTTTATATCTCGTGAAGGAGTCTGTAATCAAAACCTGACTGGCTAACAATAGCCAATGACAGTCTAGTTTGAGGGCCGGATTCTCGCAAGGTTCGTCCAATGGTATACCATTCTCAAGACAGTTATTCTATCACCAGAGACTGTTGACCGGCCGCTGCATCAGGAAAATTAAGGAACAAAGGCCGAGGCTTGTACATGTGTAGGGCAGCGTCAAGGAAACCCGTGAACAACTTTCCTTTGGGGGCGCTGAATTCTTTCCTTTCTTCCCACCAGTCGAGTTCCCATTGCCGGCCTTCTCCAGCTCCTTCGTTCCCACCGTTATCGCTTCCTCCAAAACTCCCCCCCGACTTGGCCGTGTAGGGGCCTGCCTTGTCACCAACAAGTTAGCCAGCAACGGCCGCCGGCGCACTCGTCTGTTCGTCTGCGCCAGTCTTGCCGTCAGAGGTCCCTCGAGTCCACGCTCGACGAGTTTGTTCACGCGAGTCTTCCACTTGGAGTCTCCGTTTGTCTAGGAGGCTCAGCAGCCGAGTTTCCCCACGAGACGAGGCCTATTTGAGGAGAAGGATGCGTCTGCACAATCGCATTGTTGTAGCTGGCGTCAGGAGGTGTAGGACCAGTAGTCGATGAGGAATTGCCACACGGTATACCGCCACCATCGCATACACGCCGAATCGATTGAGAAAGCTGGCTGCGCCGCGACTTATTCTGTTATCGACATGCCCGTGTGAAAAGGGAGTGTGTGGCGCATGCTGAAAGAACCTCGGTGACTGGATGTAAGTGTCTCCCAGAAAAAAGGGGGAGAATGAGAGAAATGAACGAATGACGGGACAGGTCCCAACGACGTGGGAGCCGTGTCTTGGGCGAGGAAGATGTAAAAGACAGAGTTTGAGAATGCGGCTGCAGTCAGGAATAAATCGACCTTGCCAGCCAAGGTAAAGGCTGGAGTGAGTGGTGTTGCGTCAATGTAAATGCAAGCTCCAGATCCCTCAGCGGCATCTTAACCACGTTATATGTCATGGTTTCTGTGCGCCATGAATTCTCAACAGCGTAACTTTTCGGCTGAAATCATGACATGTGCGTGAGCATCCAACTTGACTGAACATTTGAAAACCAAGGTTGGTGCAGATTGCAGAAGCGCCATTCGAGATGCAGCGTCCGTCGCCGCCCCACACTCTGCATCTCGCAACTCCATCTCTGCCCCATCTGCATTGCCGAGTTGGCAATACCAATTCAACACACAACCAGCCCCCTATACAGGCCAAGCCAGAATGTCGTCCGGAATTCGCGATAAACTCTACCTACCAGTTGTCGGCACCCAGCTCGTGGGCATGCTAAGTACACACCCCCAGCAAAATCCAGCTAGGCAGGGTACAACCAACACCAAGCTAACATCACCAGTCCTCGACCTCGTCCCCTTCTACCCCAAGTTCCTCTGGCAAAGTCCCTCGTCCCTTCTCCATCCCCTGGTCTCCCTCCGCAAATGGTGGACAATCCAATCCGGCGACCCTTATTTTGCGTCCTGCACCCACGAGCCCTGGTTCGAAGCCTTTCTTTACGTCGAGCTGCTGGTGCAGCTCCCACTGACGGCGTATCTTGCCTACAAGCTTGGCTCGATGAAGCCCACCTCTGGCGCCACTGAATTGGCCGCTTTGGCCTACGCGTGCGTGACGTTTATGGGAGCCACGGCATGTGCCTATGATATCTGGCACATGGGCGCGGACAAGGTCAGTGTCGAGCATAAACCACGGCTGTTTTGGGGCACATATCTCCCCTTTGCGGTTATTCGTAAGTTGCCATTTTATTCAGTATCTTGTCCCTGACACAGTAGGCTGACCTGTCTCTCCTAGCCGCGTTGATGGCCGTGGACATGTATCTCAGGCTGCTGGCGAGGGTCCAAGATTCGCGTCCAACCAAAAAGATCTAAGATGACGCGTGTAGGAATAGGCCTGGCCGCACCCAAATCAGTGTACGGCCCTAAACAAACAGAGGACCAACGTCTATTTGTATTAAACAAGTGAAAAAAAAAACCGTCATGGCTACAAGCCAACCGGAAATCCTCGTTAGACATGATACAAAAGTCATTCGACACCAGCCACCAGCCCAACTCCCCCATAACAAATAACAGTCGGCCAAAGAAACGCCAGGTATCCCACCCGTCATGTCATGTATGCAGAATGTACAACAACGAATAAGAACAAGAACAAGAAAAAAAAAGAAACCCGTCCAGCACATACACTCACTCAATCCTTCTTGGTATAACCCCAGCCGTTGCCAATGCCTCCGCTGCTGAGCCCGTACCCCAAGGGCGTGGCGCCGCCCATCGACCTCCCCTTCAATCTTCTCGGCAGCACGACGCCAAGAGTATACATGCCCGCGACGACAACACCGGCGCCAAACGACACGATGCTGTAAAACACAGTGGTCGCGTAGATGTGGCCCCCGAGGCCCCTCCACTCGACACGTCCCTCGGTCTTGGGCAGCGCGGGCGTGGGGAACCACCGCACAGAGAACGTGAGCGGCAGCGGCTCGCCGGGAATGATGCGCGCCGTCTCGGTGCCCTCCATGTGGCTCAGCGGGCTGGTGCTGTAGGCAATGGCCGAGTCGAGGACGCCGCTGTCGTGCGGCCGCTGGTGGTGCTTGGGCATGCTGTGCAGCAGGACGTTCATGTGCGTGCTGATGTGCATGTGGCTCATCTGCAGCGTGCCCGCCAGCGCAAACACCAGCGGCACGTACTCCTGCGCCGGCGGCTTCTCGCCGACGATTTCCACGTGCGCCGGCGGCCTGGCCGGGAGGCGGCACGACATGGGCGCGTCGCTGTGGATGTAGAACTCGAGCAGGTGGAAGAAGGGGTCCGAGATGAAGTCGAGCGTGCAGTTGAGCTCGCCCTCGTAGCCGTAGTGGAATTCGAGCGGCTTGCCCGTCTCGTTGCACACGGGGAACGGGACCCATTGTATCTCGTCGTTCTTCTCAATGTGCTCGCCGGTTTCTCTGCAGCATTTCCTTGTTAGCACCAAGCATATGCTGCACACTGCGCAAGTATGGGGGTGTTTTTTTTTTTCGTTTTCTCGTTTTTTCCCGGCCCAAAGATGTATCGCAAGACTCACGAGCTTCGGTTCATGCACTCGACCTTGATTGGCGCATTGTAATGATACGCTGGCAGTCCGTCGAGGTGCTCCTTGGCGGCGGCAACGCTGGCGGCGGCGATTGCGCCGAGCAGCGCAGCTGGTAGGGCTAGCATCTCGACCGTGTGCGAGGAGGTGATGTGCAAGTTTATAGTGCACGCTGCGGCTTGCTGTCGTTGAATCCGGCCGGCGTCGCGTGCGGTATGTCAACTGCAATAAGGGGTAACCTGAGATAGGTTTTCTGGGCGGCATGGTGTTGAAGCCATCTTGAAATCCGTTGTCCTGGACCAATCAGGCGCGGCTGTGACGTCTCTTCAACAGGGGTCTGGTCCCATTCCAGGGGCACATGCATTGGGCCAGATGGCTAGTGGTTTGGCAAAAGTCAAATGGCAAATCGGCATCTCAGGAGCAAGACAAATAAAAAAAATTAATGGCAAAGATGCTACTCATCAATCAAACCAAGTACTACTACCCTCCAACTTCTATTGTGCCGTTTTAGACGAGAATCCGGGTCGGGATCTGGTCCTGGCAACGCGACGCTGACGCCGCACTAAGGCGCATGCATGCGCACTGCCACAGCCGCAGCTCAATCAAACCAGTCTCACAAGGGATGACTTCCTCGACAGAATTCCTTCTGGCCAAAAGCCCATCATGGGACGGCTCGTTCTCCCTGTCGGGTCGGGCTCAGGACGCCCAACGTTGATTCTGCTCATCAACTAGGTCGCCAAACACGGCCCTTCCTTGGCCCAGAATCCCGTCTCATGAACCTCGACACATCGACGTCTGCGGCCACAGACACAACCCCAGCGCGATGCAGTTTGGCAAGGCCATCGGGACGGCATGCAGCTCCTTCGCCATCACCAACATCGACGACATCTTCGTCCTCGTCACCTTCATGGCCGAGGCGTCCACCACCAAAGTCCTCACGCCCTTCAAAGTCACCATTGGCCAATATGTCGGCTTCACCGTCATCATCGCCGTAAGCATGATTGGCTTTGGCATCTCGCTCGTGCTCCCCTCGGAGCCTATTGGATTCCTCGGCCTGCTCCCAATCCTCCTGGGGCTATGGAACGTGCTTGGTCTTTTCTTCCCCGACCATGAAGAAGAATCCGAGGGCTCGAGAATCGCGTCCATGAAGAGCATCTTCAAAGTGGCTCTGGTGACGGTCATGAATGGCGGCGATAACATCAGCACGTACATACCCCTGTTCTCGCAAACAAAGGGGGCAGAAATCGCCGTGTATGTTGTCGTGTATTACATCCTGGTTGGAGTGTGGTGTCTCGTCGCGTTCCTAGTCATGAGACAGAAGCATGTTTTGAGAGTGGCGGAGAAGTACGCCCATTACGTGGTGCCGTTCTTGTACGTGGGACTCGGCATATACATCATTGTCAAGTCGAATTGCTATCCGTGGACGATTCGCCGCATTGATGCCGAGAGGGGAGGGCATCCGGGGAGCATCATCATGGGCGTGGTGACGACGGGGCTGTTGCTGATGTGCATTGCGGCCATGCTTTGGGCGAGGATGCGAAAGAAGAGACGGTCGACGGCCGTGGACGCGGCAGGGACGGTGCTTGAGGAGGTGCCGGCTCCCTCGGCGCGGCAGTCAACGGAATCACAGCAGGCCCGTGAAGCTGCTGAGGCGGCTGGAGAGAAGAAGAGTGATGCGACGCCGAATGTGCAACGGCACGATACGCCGCAAGCAGGAGCCTCGGCAACGACTTGAATGGTGTAGATTCATACAATAATCTCAATTTACTGAACACCGAGAAACGTCATAAACACGTCCATGTACACCGAATAAACTCACTTTCTCACCAACCCCGTCATAGAAATAATCTCCCACTCAACATCCCACCCCTTGCCCTCATACTTGCTCTCCACAAACTCCTCAACCCCCTTTCTTACCACATCAACCGGATGCTCCCTCCTCAACTCCTCGCTCCACCACGTATTCATAATAAACGGGATCATCATCCCGAAAAACTGGACAAACTCGGCGGCATTCTCAACATGGTACCGCCCCGAAGTCACGGTAACTTGAACATCCCCAAACCCCTCCTCTTCAAGATGCCGCCTAATCCACTCACAATCATACCACCTCCCCGAATCATGAGTCTGCATGGGCAGTTCCTCCGGAAAGGGGGCGTCAAACGGCAACGACGCAAAAGCAGCACGCATATCCGGAATCCAAAACTTGGAGCCATTCCCACGCGGAAACGTGGTCGCGCCAAAGACTCCGCCGTCTTTGAGTATTCTCCAGCAGTCTACGCACAGAAATCCATCAGTCATCCCACCCCCACGTCAAAAGCATCGAGGAATAGACTCTTACCCTTGAGCACTTTATCCGGCTCGGGAATCAAGTGCAGCCCCAGCGCAACAGCAACATGGCTCAGCGAACTCTCCTCCAAGCCCGTATCCTGCCCAAAACATCAGCTCAGCCGTCTCGCGCACATCCGTCCATCCATCCACGGGGCAGACACGTACCCTGGCGTCCAGCACCTCGGCCTGGGTATTCACCCATGCCTCGTCTTGGATCCTGCCCGCAACCACATCCACCAACACCCGCGAGCTATCCGCACATATAAAGGTGCTCTTGTCAAGTACGTCTCTGGCCAGCATACCCTGCACCTCCTGCGTCACCACGCCCGTTCCGCATGCGCTATCGAGGAATTGAACGGGGGCAGTACGAGCACGGCTCATCCCCATCTGTTTCAGAAGCGGGGCGGCAGCATGCTTCATGAGTTTTTTAGAAGCTAGAATCATGGAGGCTTGCGACGAGGGGGCTTCGGCGTGTGCAGAGAGCACGGATGCACCGCCCGAGAGGTTGACGCTCGAGTTGGTCATCTCGGCCGTTTTTTTCTTTTCTTTTCCGAAAAAACAGACAAATAAAGGGACGATATTCCAAAAGTGCACTTTGGTAAAGAGGAACCACGCGTCGTTATTTGTCTATATGTATATATATCTATTTCCAGAAAGTTTCCGAAAAGTCGCCGTTTGCCGACACTACTCTCCACGCTGGCCATTCTCACCCACCAAGTATACGAAATCGCGGCAAGAAAAGAGTCCGCTCGAATACTACAATCAAGATGATTCGTAGACCAGCCAATTTCAAGCATACAACGCACACTCGCTCACTGGTCGGATGCCTCGCATTTACAACCTTGATGGTTCGATCGCGCCCTACAACATTGTAGTCCCGCCGCTCAACCACTATATCATTCTTACCAAGGAACTAGTAATCTATCATCCCACGTAATAAAAAAAAATTATGCTACATTGTTGGAAAAATTTCTTCTTGTACAACATGACCCTGTCATTTGAGCGCCCATAGCAACCATGCATTTCTTTGCTGCCCAGTGAACTATCAAGTTTGACAACACCTAAATTCCGCCTTGCGTCCCCGTCCCATTCAATCACATAAACCTCAAGCTCCCCGTGGGGACTCTCTCAATCAATCCTGAAATTTCTCTCCTCAACGCCCTCAATACCCTTCTAATGTCTGCCAAGTCCATGCCTCCGTTGTTGTTGCCCTGTCCTGGCGGAGGGAGAGCAGATTCGCATCGGCTGACAAGGTCGGCCACGGAGGGTCCAATAGAACCACCCTTACCGGCACCGCCTCGTCGACGGACGTCCGCCACCCAATCGTTAACCACGTACGCTATGATTTCGATGATGCGGTTGCGGGCCATGCCGCTGAAGCCGTAGTCCTGGGTGTCGAATATGTTCTCGAGGACTCGCACAATCATATCGTGCGATACGCCGAGGGTGAGGAATAATTGCACGGGCCAAGTAGGGTCGGCGCCAATGGTGGCGTCCTGCTGGTAGGCCACTGCATAGCGACACAGCTCGGGAATAAGGGTTTGGATGGGGAACACAAAGCTGTCGAGGGAGGTGTGGTGGGCAATATTCTGGATCTTGCTGGTGACTGCTTCGTACGGTAAGGGGGGCGTCGGCATGCCTGGCTCGGGGTTCTCTTGCCTCGCCATGACTTCGTCGTGTGTCTGCTGGATCAGATTGCTCCACGTTCCAGCAATGGTGGTGGGATTACGATAGTTGGCTGTGTGATAGATTAACAAGCATAAATCGTAATAGCCTGCTTGATCCGCGTAGTCATTGAACAACTAAGACTTGTTAGCACAGGAATCGACACATTCGCGACAAGACGAGTGAGAGCGTACCTCTGAGAGCCCCTGAATCTTACCGTCCAGGGCGAGTTCAATCTCGGCCTTTCGCTCGGGGTCAATTCTATCATCCGCCTTGAGCCGCTGCAGTAGGTCATCTTGAATGTTTGCTACGTCTAGGAGGTCGGTAACTTCGTGGTTGACCTGCTGCTGCTGCTGCCGGCTGACGCCAACCGTCGCAACGTTGGCATTAGCCTTGGCAAGAGACAGCAATTTGATGCGGTCCTTGATGCCAATTGGGAAATCAGAGTTGGCTAGCTGTGCTTGAACTTCTGCGGCATCGAAGAAACGACTGCGGTTGGTGTAGAAGCGGCAGAGGAGATCGGCATGCTCGACATTGGTACCCGCCAGGCGCTCCAAAAAGGTGATGACGTGAGGAGAGTCAATGGCCAAGATACGGTCAGTCCACCCTTGTTGAATGTACCACTCGTATAGATCAAAGTGGAAAACTTCATCATCTGACCCGTTCACCACATCATAGGCCTCCAGTCTCTTGGTGGCAATCAAAGTGAGCTTGCCGTCAACCATTTCTGGCTCAGTGCTCGACGCAGCATCCAAATGGCGAAGCACGTCGTGAATCATATCGTAGCATCGCTTTCGGTCATTGAACGCGTTTGCTCGAGGGTCGCCGGATGGCTTGCCGTCATTGACCCAAACAAGAGCCGTATTACCACGATCCTTCTCGCGAGCAACAACAAGACATAGTTGAATAGCCCCAGCGTAATATTTCATCTCAACATACTGTGTGACCGCAGCTTGCAAGTTGGCAAAGGTCAGACTTCCAGCAACCTTTTCGAAAAGCTTTAAACTTTCGTGTAAAAGATTTCTAAATTGGTTCGTATTCAGAGGCTGCTCTGAGGCTCGCTTGAGCTGCTCCTGGGCCTTGAAGATGACGACGTCGTCGGGGCTGCAGAAGCTGCCGCACCGTCTTCGTAGTGCGTCAGCCACAGTCTCAACGTTAGAGCCGCTCTCGATATTTCTGTTAACAATTGCCTTGACCAGGAGCTTGGCGAGATCCTTCCCATCGGCCTGTGAGAACAATTTCTCGTAGCTAAGCTCCTTCAGTTGTTGTCGCGAGACTTCATCTAGTCTGGTGAAAATATCAGCAACGCGCTCATCGAAGAGCATCAGCACAAAGGAGATGCCCTCTGAAATGCTTTCCATAATCTTCTGAAGAGCATGCAATGCTTGGTGTTCAGCCTGCAGCGCAACCTCTTCTTGCCTTGTAGACACTCTTTGGAGATCAGACGGGCCAGACATTCCCTGTATCAGACCACGGTTGGTCTCGATGAACCTCCTCAGCCTCTCCAAATTTTCTTGAGTGATGTTAAGCTTAGACAAAGGAACCGCAGAATCGACTGTGATGCCACCGGTAGGTGAAACCCCGGTTCTGATGACGGGGGATTTCCATAGCTTACGAATGAGACGAGATAGATACAGAGCGAGGGCGTCATGTCGAGAGGAGAGCTTGACAGATTCGGTGGTTAGTGCTGTACCATCGGTCTCGGCCATAGTAGGTTGGCCACCAAAGTCAACAAACAGAGCGCGAGCTCTATCCTCCGTCGCCTGATCGATGGCACGTGCAGCACCTGGCCTTCCATCTCCACCATGGCCACAGGCAATGGCAAGGGCTGTCGAGATGGTCTCAACCCGGCCATATAATTGAATCAACCGGCGGGTAATGCTATCCAAAACTTCATCGCCAGGAGCGTCGCGGATTGCAGCAGCAAAGGTGTCCACAAATCGGCGTCGGCGAATGACGTGAATTCCAGTATTCGTAAGAACAGCAAACTCGCTTGGGGGCTCGTCGAATTGCACCGCTAGTTCGTTGCCAAATCCGAGGGGCTGCGCGGCGGCAGCAAACGGCTTGGTGATAAGTCCAACGGCTTCCGCTCTGCTACCAATGTTAATCCAGCTCCCTTGCTCAAAGTATCGTAAAGGTGCCGTAGGTGATACGCGCTTAATTCGTCCTGTCTCCGGTCCAGAAACGAAAAGAGTATCTATGCTGGCATTGTTTCCGCTGCTCACAAAGTCCAAGAAGAAACCGGGAGCAAAGCGGATACCTTGTCGGCTTGCCGTGAGCATGGTAGATTCCAGATCGACCGCCGACTCTCCGGGCTGACCAGTCTGAGAAAACAGTCCCGACCGTCTCGAGGCCTGGCTCGGCGGGAATTTGATGAATTGTACTTGCATGCTTTGGGGTGCCAGGTTGGATTGTGATCCGTAGAGATATGATGACGCATTTGTAGCACTGAAGAACAGTCGGCAGCCGGAGTCGGTAAGAGCCATAAGGTGAAGTTTGGATGCTTCTTGCTTCGTAATCGGACTGATGGATACTATTCTCAATTTATCGGTGAGCAGTTTGGATTGTGTAATCATGTGAGCAATGTCACGCAGACAGTGAATCTTTTCCTTCTCAATGACCTTGTTCAAGCGGTCAGGAGCATCCATGTGATATGTTCGGATAGTCGACTTGCTTGATAGTGTATAAACAAGCTTTCTTGAGTCATCGATAACAATATCAACCAAGTGTTCAGGCTCCTTGTGAGACCAGAAAGTAGACTGCAATGAGACTACTGATGCCCATCCCGGGTTGGTGTGATTGATTCTGCCGCATCGGTTCGAAAACCACTTCTCTTCAGACTGATAGTATAACTCGTTGATATCGATGTCGCTGCTGCCGCCACAGAAGATGCGGCCATCAGCCGACCCGGAAATCACGCGGACGTCATTGCCACGCAGAGGTAAGTTCATCTTGGTTTGATACAATGCGACAGACTTGGTACCAGCAGGCGTATCCGTAGCTGAAAGACCCAGCAAAATCATCTCCGATGACGTAGCGACGACAAGAATGTGCGTGATCGTCTTGACGAAAATGCCGGGTTTCGGGGGGACCAACGCGACTGCGTGAATGGTATGTGGTTGTTCTTCGAATCCGATCAGCTCGGGGTCGGCGTGAGTGTAGTCCCATAGGTACAAGGAGTTGTCGATAACAACCCAGGCGTGGTTAATCTCAGCAAACAATCCCATCAAGGTTTGAAGCTCTCCCGCATTGTAGTGATCGAATACTTGGTTCGGAATCGGATACATGTGCGTCTTGTGGAAAGGGGCCCAAGATGAATCAGACCTCGAAAGCTCATAATCGGAAGAAGCGCCCTCTAATTTCTTTGAATTAGCATGTCTTTATCCACAAGGTTGGTCTAGTGTCTTACGCCTGCAATAAGAATCCAGGTCCGGGAAACTCTCATCCATTTGCAAAAAAGCATTGATGGCCTTTGCGGCCTTGACAACTGGAGGCACATTCTCAAGCCGCGGCGTCGGCAACGGATTGGCAGCAACCAAGCCAGCGTCACCAGTATTCACCGCCGTTAAGGCCGTTGAGGATCTGGATGAAGCCAAACCACCTCCCTGTGTCGCCGTTGTGCCCAAGCCACCAGAGGCTAAATTTCCACCAACCTGGCTGCCGGGTTGGTTATTGGAAGAAGCCGGGAAAAGCTGTCGTCGCACCGGATCAGAGCCAGACTGAAATCGCGAAGCCACCGCCGGCGTGTTCAGGAAGGCGCCTGGCACCGGCCGTAAAGGCGTGGTCTGAGGAAACGACATGTCGAGCAACAATCAACAGCTTCACCATGAGCTGAATCCTGCGCAAGACCAGCGATAAGG